AAGCTGGATTAGGGCATGGCTGTACCAAAGGAAACAGAGAGTTAGTATAAATGGAGTCAAGTCAGAGTGGGAAAATGTTGTAAGTGGAGTGCCTCAAGGCTCTGTCCTTGGACCTCTGTTGTTTATAATATATATAAATGATTTAGATTCAGGTTTGAGTAGCAAAATTTGCAAATTTGCCGATGATACGAAAATCGGTAGGGAAATAAATTCGGAGGAGGACTCACTATCACTTCAAGTTGATCTAGATAGGGTTTTGAAATGGTCAAAGGATTGGCAGATGCAGTTTAATGCTGATAAATGTAAAGTTCTGAGGTTAGGTAATGATGATAGAGTTACAAGATACGAGCTAGATGGTGTTGAGATTGCGAAGTCGGGTTGCGAAAGGGATCTGGGAGTTATGATTAGTAAGAATTTAAAACAAAAGGATCAATGCATAAATGTTCATAATAAGGCAAATCGGACACTTGGATTTATTAATTGCAGCGTTAGTAACAAGAAACCTGGTGTAATTCTCAAGCTATATCTTGCTCTAGTTAGGCCCCATTTAGATTATGCAGTTCAGTTTTGGTCGCCATATTATAGAATGGATATAAATTCACTTGAACGTGTCCAGCGTAGGATGACTAAGTTAATTCCCCAAATTAGAAATCTTTCATATGAAGAAAGATTAACAAAGCTTAAGTTGCATTCACTGGAAAGGCGAAGAGTTAGGGGTGACATGATAGAGGTTTACAAGTGGGTGAATGGACGTAACAAAGGGGATATTAATAGGGTATTAAAAGTATCAACACAAGACAGAACACGAAACAATGGGTATAAATTGGATAAGTTTAGATTTAGGAAAGACTTGGGTAAATACTGGTTCAGTAACAGAGTTGTTGATTTGTGGAACCAATTGCCACGTAACATTGTGAAGGTGGGGTCCCTCGATTGTTTCAAGCATGGGTTGGACATGTATATGAGTGGGATTGGGTGGTTATAAATAGGAGCTGCCTCGTATGGGCCAATAGGCCTTCTGCAGTTGCCTTTGTTCTTATGTTCTTCTTATGTTACCTTGTACACGTTCCTGGGCCCGGTCGGGCCTGGGTCGCTTTGGGACGGCGGATGCGGCCTGTTGTCTCGACTTCGGATTGTGTAGTGTGCGGCGACCGCCTCCCGGGTCAATCCCTATTCTTTTCCTCTGTGGGTAGTTAGCTCCGGGGAGCTGTAGAGGCTCCCCCTCAAAAAACCAGCGTTGAATGTAATGAAACGCCATTTTCTGGGTGAGTCACAGGATGAGGCTCCCTGGCATCCTTCCCTCCCTCTGGTCGGCGGTTTTTCGCGTGTTTTTGACATCCAGCCTCAGAACTGGGGTGTGGATCGCCGGCTCGGTAGGTCTGGGGCTCCCCCTTCCCCCTCCCAGGGAGGGTGGGGGCTGCACAGACAGCGGCGCGACGATGAATGATGTCATACTAGTTTGCTCGTTTTTGTTTGGGGAGTTCTATCCACTCGTTCGGCTTTTGGTTGCAATTTTCACCAGAATAGGGGTTTGTGTTGTGACGCCTACCTTTCTGAGTGCCTAACCCGGTCGATGGCAGACATAGAATGCTTCTAACCACACGGGGGTTTCTATAGGCCATTGCTCCTCTTGCCTCTCTGAGGGGGCCAGGTTCTGGCTTGTGGTCCCTGGTAGGCCCATAAGAACTCCGTACACATGACTGATGGCAAAGTCTGACATTAGCATATCAGCCGGGCAAGCTCCGGGGAGCCTCCGGGACTCACCCAGAAAATGGAGTTTCATTACATTCAATGCTGTTTTTTTTTTTTTATTTCTTCTTTGTACTTTGCTAGTTCTTATTAATATAAAGGTTGGTTTTATATTTGCAGCTGATTGAATGAGGTCTTACTTAGCATTTGCATAAGCTAGCTTAGTGAGCATCTGTCTGGTGCTATGGTGATTGTTTTTATCTATTCTGATGGCAGATTTAATAGTATCTTTAAAGTTTATCTCTGATCTAATCATTTATGCACTACACTAGAGCAGCTCTCACCATCTTGTTTTTCAGGCAGATCTGCAGAACTGATGATGAGCAAATCAGGGAGTTTTTGTTGACCGCTGTTGTCTTGAGAACCTGAACCACTTATAAATCCATTGCTATCTACTTAACTACACATGCCATATATCATATTAAAGGGTTATTAGTCCAAACAAGGGTATAAGTATGGAATACATTAACTCTCATACTGGGTGGGGTGGATATTATTAGGAACTGGTGGCTCATTAGAGTTATCACTAACCTGTATTGGTGAGTGTATTAGTACAGAGCACCACTTGGTTTCCGAACCCCTTGGGGACGAGACCCGTCGGTTAACATGTAAGTTCGTATACGAGAAATAGAGGGGAAAAAATAAACTAGAAATGTAAAAAAAAATTTTTCAAAAAAAAATTACGAAAAAACTCTAGGGGAAAAAATCGACAGGTTCATAGCGTAAATGCGACCGTGTTTTGTTTGTACTCACCAATAAGTGAAGTCCTGATCCGCTTTATAAAAGTCCTTAATTGTTCCTAACTGATTATTAAGACGTCTGGCAAACATCCTCTGGATGTTTCCTGCCAGCCTGCCTGCCAGCCTGCAGGAACATCCTGCCAGCCTGCAGGCACATCCTGCCAGCCTGCAGGAACATCCTGCCAGCCTGCAGGCACATCCTGCCTGCCAGCAGGAACATCCTGCCAGCCTGCAGGAACATCCTGCCAGCCTGCAGGCACATCCTGCCAGCCTGCAGGAACATCCTGCCAGCCTGCAGGCACATCCTGCCAGCCTGCAGGAACATCCTGCCAGCCAGCAGGCACATCCTGCCAGCCTGCAGGAACATCCTGCCAGCCTGCAGGCACATTCTGCCAGCCTGCAGGCACATCCTGCCAGCCTGCAGGCACATCCTGCCAGCCTGCAGGCACATCCTGCCAGCCTGCAGGAACATCCTGCCAGCCTGCAGGCACATCCTGCCAGCCTGCAGGAACATCCTGCCAGCCTGCAGGCACATCCTGCCAGCCTGCAGGCACATCCTGCCAGCCTGCAGGCACATCCTGCCAGCCTGCAGGAACATCCTGCCAGCCTGCAGGCACATCCTGCCAGCCTGCAGGCACATCCTGCCAGCCTGCAGGCACATCCTGCCAGCCTGCAGGCACATCCTGCCAGCCTGCAGGCACATCCTGCCAGCCTGCAGGCACATCCTGCCAGCCAGCAGGAACATCCTGCCAGCCTGCAGGCACATCCTGCCAGCCTGCAGGCACATCCTGCCAGCCTGCAGGCACATCCTGCCAGCCTGCAGGCACATCCTGCCAGCCTGCAGGCACATCCTGCCAGCCTGCAGGCACATCCTGCCAGCCTGCAGGCACATCCTGCCAGCCTGCAGGCACATCCTGTCAGCCTGCAGGCACATCCTGCCAGCCTGCAGGCACATCCTGCCAGCCTGCAGGCACATCCTGCCAGCCTGCAGGAACATCCTGCCAAAAATATACGATGATGTACTGTACATTTAAGAAACAAATCTGGGTCACAGGTCTGTGGAGTGTGGTTAGGCTTACGGAGTCAGCCGGTCCCTCGCCCACCACCGACACACCTCCCCCACCCCAAACCCCCCCCCCCAGGGGATGAGCCGGTCTCACCCCCACCACCAACAAACCACCCGCCCCCCTACATCCCATCTCTCAAGGTCACGCGGTTCAACCGCGTGGTACCACTCACTCCCTGCCTGCAAGCTAGCCTGCCTGCCTGTGCCTGCCAGCCTGCCTTTCCCTCCCTAATTCTCACTACTTCCGTCCCTTCCTGCCTACCTCCTAGCATCTCTCCCTACCTCCCCCTCCCTCTTAGCATCTCTCCCTACCTCCTAACATCTCTCCCTACCTCCCCCTCCCTCCTAGCATTTCTCTCTCCCTCCCTTTCTGACTAATTCTCCCCCTCTCTCACTGATTCCCGCCCCCCCCCTCTCTCTCATACTGCCTCCCACCTAAGCTCCATCGTCCATCCACCCACCAGTCAGCCATCACTGACGCAATGCGTGCATTTGGAGCCAACATGGTGCACAGATGTTTCTTGATTGTGCAGATATGTAAAACAAAAGCACAGAATGAACATTCCAGCCTTAAGGCAATTCAAAATAATAGGAATAATAGGCCGTGAATCTGTGAAGTCACAGTGGGCAAACTGGACCATCTCCCACCAACCACCACAAGCCGGCGTGACGCTTGGTGGACCCCTTCCTACCCGAACTTTGTTCGGGTAGCATGACTCCCCAACCCCAATCGGGAAACTGGAAGTTTCGGATAACTAAAGTTCGGAAACCAAGTGGTGCTCTGTATACCTGAGTCTTGTCTCCCCCTTACTCATAACCTTTGTGTGCCCGAGTCTTGTCTCCCCCTTACTCGTAACCTTTGTGTACCTGAGTCTTCTCCCTCTTTATTCTTAACCTTTATTAAGAAAGTAAAGAAAGTTTTTAATCACTTCATCAGGAAGGTTCCTAATTTCCAGGATTGTCTTTGTCATCATTATCTGTTCATGTTCAAAATTTTGTATGTTCAATACTGAATTGCTGTGCTCTGGGATATTTGTCAGAATATTAACCCAGCTCTGGGATGTTTGTCAGAATATTAACCCAGCTCTGGGATATTTGTCGGAATATTAACCCAGCTCTTGGATATTTGTCGGAATATTAACCCAGCTCTGGGATGTTTGTCGGAATATTAACCCAGCTCTGGGATGTATTAATTTATCAGATATGTTAGCCTGGCTTTGGGATATTTTAATCTTTTATATATATTAGTCCTTCTCTGGGATATGTTAGTCTGTCAGAAATGTTAGCTCTGCTCTGGGATATGTCCGCCAGAAATATTAACTCTGCTCTAAATAGCTAATAGAAAGAAACTATATAAATATGTAATTTGTATCAGTAAATAAAGTACTGTAATGTTAATTTTTGTTGTAAATACACGAAGCTTAACTAAATATTCTTTTCCACAGGATAAGAAGCCAGAGGAATGTTCAGTGTGTTTTAACAATTATGATGACACACTGCTACGGCCTCGCAATCTGCCATGTGGCCACTCATTCTGCACTCAGTGTATTGACAATGCTATCAAGAATGATCAGCTGACCTGCCCCAGCTGCCGTGCCCAGCATGCTGCCACAGCTGCTACTCAGTTCCCAATCGGTTATGGTATGGAGGCCCTTATCAGAAAACTAAAAGGTATCGAGGTTGTGCCAGGGAAAACGGTACCAGCAAAACCTAGTAAAGCTCCTGCCAGAGGCATCAGTAAGAAGTTACGTTCCCTGGTGGAGAAGCAGAAGAGCAGCATCAACAGCCTCATTACTAGCTGTGAAAAGGTATTGTCACAGCTGAGTGAGTACTGGGTTCAGCTGGGGGACTGGAAGACTCACCACCTCCAGCTCCAGGACAGACTCTATGCTCTGGTAGAGCAGAACAAGTCAGCAATGAAGCTCTTGGAACTGGAGGATACCAGTGTGGTGGATATGAAAACACAAGGAGAGGAAGGGAAGACTCGGCTGCAAGCCATATTGGAGAGTCTCGACACAGTCAACACAGCACAGCAGGGTGACACAACCATAGCCCCAGCGGATGAGTGCAGCATGAAGGTAGAAGATTGGCTCCAAAAGTGCCAGGAACGCTTTCCAGATGTCAAGACTGTCCACACCTCAGTGAAGGTACGCTGCTGAAGGTCTTATTGTTTTCACCCAACTAAGTGTTATTGCCTCTATATAACCACTTAAGATTAACATGGAGACACATCAAAATGAGAGTAGACTTTGTATATAGGAAATTTTTTGCTATAACACCTGAAACATTTGTATTAATATAGTCAACTGTCATCTTGGTGTTTCTCTACACTGTGGTCAGTACTCACTGTTCACTACACCCATGTCAACTGTCATCTTGGTGTTTCTCTACACTGTGGCCAGTACTCACTGTTCACTACACCCATGTCAACTGTCATCTTGGTGTTTCTCTACACTGTGGTCAGTACTCACTGTTCACTACACCCATGTCAACTGTCATCTTGGTGTTTCTCTACACTGTACTCACCTAGTTGTTGTACTCACCTAGTTGTTGTACTCGCCTAGTTGTTGTACTCATCTAGACCAATCCTAGGTCTAGGTTGTGGGGATTGAGCTTTGGCTCTTTGGTCCCACCTCTCAACCGTTGATCAACTGCTAATTACCTAAGTGTAGTTACAGGATGAGAGCTACGCTCGTGGTGTCCCGTCTTCCCAGCACTCTTTGTCATATAAGGCTTTGAAACTACTGACAGTCTTGGCCTCCACCACCTTCTCACCTAACTTGTTCCAACCGTCTACCACTCTGTTACTCTGTTTGCGAAGGGGAATTTTCTCATATTTCTTCGGCATCTGTGTTTAGCTAGTTTAAATCTATGACCTTGTTCTTGAAGTTCCAGGTCTCAGGAAATCTTCCCTATCGATTTTATCAATTCCTGTTACTATTTTGTACGTAGTGATCATATCACCTCCTTTTCTTCTGTCTTCTAGTTTTGGCATATTAATGCCTCTAGCCCCTCCTTGTAGCTCTTGCCCATCAGTTCTGGGAGCCACTTAGTAGCATGTCTTTGCACCTTTTCCAGTTTGTTGATGTGCTTCTTAAGATATGGGCACCACTCAACCGCTACATATTCTAGCTTTGGCCTAACAAAAGTCGTGAACAATTTCTTTAGTGTATCGCCATCCATGTATTTAAAAGCAATTCTGAAGTTAGAAAGCGTGGCATAGGCTCCTTGCACAACGTTCTTTATGTGGTCCTCAGGTGATAGTTTTCTATCTAGAACCACCCCTAGATCTCTTTCTTATCAGAATTCTTTAAAGATTTCTCACATAATATATAGGTTTTGTGAGGTCTATGTTCTCTTATTCCACATTCCTTAACTTAGCATTTATTCACATTAAATTCCATTTGCCAAGTGGTGTTCCATATACTTATTTTGTTCAGGTCTTCTTGAAGGGTATGACAATCATCTAAGTTTCTTATCCTTCCTATTATCTTAGCATCATCAGCAAACATGTTCATATAATTTTGTATACCAACTGGTAGATCATTTATGTAGACAATAAACATCACTGGTGCAAGAACTGAACCCTAATGTTACTCCACTTGTGACATTTCTCCAGTCTGATACATTGCCTCTGATTACTACCTTCATTTTTCTATCAGTCAGAAAATTTTTCATCTATGTTAGAAGCTTACCTGTCGCCCCTCCAATATTTTCCAGTTTCCAGAACAACCTCTTATGTGGAACTCTGTTGAAAGCCTTTTCTGGGGGGAACCCCTACGGCTCCCCGGAGCTATCCATGGCTGATATGGATACCCTAACTATTTTGCATCAGTCGATGTGGGTGGAGTTCTAGGCCTACCGGGGACCACGAGCCAGAACCTGGCCCCCTCAGAGAGGCACGGGGAGCAATGGCCCATAGAAATGCACATGTGATTTGGAGCATTCTATATCTGCCATCGACCGAGACAGGCACCCAGAAAGGTAAGTGCCACAAAACAAACGCCTATTCTGGTTAAACAACAAAAATCGACAAACGAGTGGACAGAACTCCCCCAGGAAAACAAACTAACAAGCATGACGTCACGCGAGCCGCGCCGCATGTCTGCGCAGCTCCCCCCTCCCTGGGAGGGGGAAGGGGGAGCCCCAGACCCCCGCGCTGGCGATCCCCGCCCCAGTTCCTCGGCTGATGGGATCATGCACGGTCGTGTGGCTCCAGCTCCAGTCTTGTCTCAGTGCTGTGACTTGTTTGTAGTGCTGCTCTTACGGTGGTCGTGTGAGCTGGGAGTAGTATTCTCAGGTACTCGGGCTGCATGTCCTTAGGGTCACCTTCCCTGAGTGCCCTGTAAGTACCGCCCTTGGGGCTTGGGGTTGCCTTCCACAAGTCACCTTGGGTCTACCTCTGTTGGCTTTTCGCTGCTTGGCGTTTGGCCGCCCCGAGGGTTTGGGGGTTTCACTCCCTTTTTTACCTTGGGGTAAGTGGTAGTTATCGCACTGGTGGGGCGCAGGGTACTGCGTAGCTAGTTTTCACCTATGACAGCGGCCGGCTCTGTTCCCTCTGGGTACGTTGTCCACTTGTGTGGTTTTTCTTTTATTTTTGTTTTTGCCTGGTAGGGGGGTCTTCCTTGTTTCCCCCCCCCTTATATTCGTTTGTGTGGTGGCACCCCCTGCTTTGCCCTCGCGAGTGGACTCGTCCCGTGGGTTCAGCTTTAGCAGTATGCTTGGTAGTTTGGGGCGCCGGTTAGCAGTACCCTGCCTGGGATAACCCTTAGCAGACCCAGTCTAGGGGCCCTGGGAAACCCCCCGGGGGCTCTCGGGTCCGATAGTGGAGACCCTTGCGTCCCCTCTCGCTTTGGGCGAGTTGAGGGTTGCTCTGTCCCTTTGTCTCAGGGTGACTCTCCCTGTTTTTGCCTCCGTTATGCTGCCTGTTGGGTCGGTGACACATTCGACCCTTGAGTCCTGCGAGCTTTGTTGCTTGTTCGTGACTCCATTCACCCAGTCTGCTGATGAATTCCCGTGGGTGCAGGCAGCTCGCACGTTGCAGGGTAGGATGTTGCAACGCGCTCAGGTTTGTCGCTTCCCCGGATGCCCAGATGCTGCCCCGCTTGTGTAGGGACCCAGACTTGGGTGGTTTTGGTCGCTTCGGCCTTGGTTCCTTCCACGCCCTTGTTTTTCCCCCTCCTGCTTCCGGCCCCTACGCATCTGCAGGCTTCGGGGTCGGGGCGGGGTTAGAGGTTCTGAGACTTGGGCAGTTTCGGGGGTTGCCCCGTCCCGGGTAGCTGCGGAGGCATTCGAGTCTGTTCCTCCGGCCGATGCTCCGGGGTTTTGACCAGTGGGCCCCCTTCTCTTTCAGCTCTCTCGGCTGCCCCAGCTTTTTCTTGTGAGGCTGGGGCTTTGGAGGTCGACTCGGCCCCGGGGCCTGGTGCAGAGGCTCCTGGGGTTGGGGAGGTGCGGCCTTGAGGGCCTTGGGCTCCATTGCGCCCCGCCTGGATTTCCATCCTTCTGAGCGGGGCTTCCTGTTACGAGGAGTGGGGTTTTCTTTCCCCCCTCTGCGTACGATTTGGGCTTGGGTTCTGCTCCTCCCCGGGTTCGGTTCCGTGTCCCTGTGGTTTCTTCGGTTCCGTCTTCAGGAGGTTTTCGGCTAACCGCATCTCTTCGCCTGCGGTGTGGTTGGCCTTTGCGGCTTCCTCCTGCGTGTCCCGGAGTTTGCCTCCATACTGGTTCCTTCTGTTCTGGACAGGTTGGGCTCCTTGTAGCAGTTTGGGCTCCTTGTAGCCGTTTGGGCTCCTTGTAGCCGTTTGGGTTCCTTGTGGCAGTTGGGCTCCTTGTCGCCGTTTGGGCTCCTTTGTAGCCGTTTGGGCTCCTTTGTGGCCGTTTGGGCTCCTTTGTGGCCGTTTGGGCTCCTTTGTGGCCGTTTGGGCTCCTTGTAGCCGTTTGGGCTCCTTGTGGCAGTTGGGCTCCTTGTCGCCGTTTGGGCTCCTTTGTTGCCGTTTGGGCTCCTTTGTGACCATTTGGGCTCCTTGTAGCCTGTTGGGCTACTTCTCGCCTTGTTGGGCTCCTTCTCACTTTATTGGGCTACTTCTCGCCTGGTTGGGCTCCTTCGCGCCTGGTTGGGCTACTTCGCGCCTGGTTAGGCTACTTTCGCGTCCTGCGCATGCACCGTGGGAGTTTGTTTTGGTTCCGGGCGGTGTGCACACGTGTTCTGCTCCAATTCTCTCGGGGGGGCTTCGCCTCTCGCTCTTTTCTTGTTCCCATCCGTGCCCCGTTGCTTTGGGGGTGTTCTGGGGTGCCGCTGTGTGGAATTCATGAGGTTTTTTCCCTGCGTTCTAGGGTGGGGAGCCTCTTTCGCTGCTCCCCTCCTCCTCTCCAGCATGGGCGCACTGGCCTCCTCTGGCGGATACGGACTCGAACGCTTCGGGGCCTATGTTCTGCAGGTGAGTTGGTGCGGTTTTGGCGTCTCCTTCGTCGTGACGCTGTTTTTGTTTTTGGGAATAGGAATGGGTGTACATACGTACTTGAGAACGTGGACCGTATCACCCGAGGTGCCTACTGCAGGGCTATTAGCCCATACTGGGCAGCTCTTGTTCTCTCCACCTGATTTGGAATCAGGATTCACGTTTGAGATGTGGATGTTGAGTCACTGCTCACCAATGTGCCATTGAATGTGATAATTGCAGTGATGACGGGCAAGGTTTATCAGGATTCAGTACACGCACTTGACATCTCAGAAAGCACACTTAGGCATACTAAGCAAAACACATTTGGCCCAATAACATTGTAACATGAACTTTGCAGAGCAAATTTTTCAGCGTCTTTCCCAAGTGAAGAACACAAGAGTTACAGAAAATTCATGTTAGAACCTTGTACAGTGTACTGTATAACCCTTTTGGCCATATACAGCAACACATGCAGATACATAGAGTATGTATTTATGCCTTAATATGTTATTTATGTATATGCATACTTAAATAGCGAACAAGACTTAAAAGAACATACCATGTTCCTCGGTTCACGGGTGTCTGCGGGTGGCCTCTTGTCCTTTCCGAGGCGGTTCCTGCCTGTACTCCTCCTGCCCCTCTCCTATGCTTGTCAAACCTTGCTTGAGTTCGGGGCCCCGCCTCCACCTTGTTCTGCAGTGCACCGGTGGGGGTGCCTGTTTGGTGGTACGTTTTCCTGTGTC